CTGAGGCAAGAAGGTGACTTTGCAACTTGGCTTCAAGGTGGATTCGTGGGGGCGAACACTGCCTGGTGTGCCAATAATAAACCCTGCAGCACCTTGCTAGTAACCGTGGAGTACCGTAGTATATCGGTGAGTCCTTCGCCTTTGTGTGAGTTGTTTTTCTTCCCGGCATACAGGAAGTTCACTGTGGACTGCCAGCAGCCTGCCGAAGACAAGATCATCGAGGTCAAGGACGCGATTTTCCTCTTGAATCTTTTTAGTTCTCGAGGTTGGGGACTTGTACATATTTTCTTTCCACGATGGCACTGTCCGACATCCGTATAAGATGGGATGGGCTCGCGCAGCTGAGTAGCAGAACTATCGATATAGTCCCGGCCCGACCCCCACTTCGTGTTCCAATCGCGTGACACGATGTAGCAGCTTTGGCGCTGTTGGGTTTCAGCATCTTTTAATCGTTTCCCCCTAATATTAAAAGGACCCCCCTCCCCCATATCATAAGAATTCATTTCCGGCGGTTTGGTTTTTATACTAGGGGGGTTTCGGTGCATCCGGATATGAAGTTAAGTTATGAGTCGGATTGACAGGAATAGTGAGACCGTCCATCACGCAGCCGTTCCGGCTGTAGCAGACAGTCAGCCCTGAGCCCTAAACCCTAAAGCCCTAAGCCCTAAACCTTGAGCCCCAAGCCCTAAGCCCCTAAACTTAAACCCTAAAGCTCTGGTCCTTTTCGGTTTCATTAGAACTGCTGTAGTCTTGGCTCTATGAAAACTAGTACAATCCTAGGCCCCCCCTAATGTTTTTAATTTACTTTCAATTGTGGGCCCGAAACCGCGAAATTCCGGGGCCGGGCGATGTTATATTAGGGTAGGGTTTATAGTAAGGGGAAGCGATTAAGTCTTGTTGTGTTACAAACAGTTAACAGATGTCTACAGCATCGTGCGACCAAATGCCTATTTTCCGCACGACAATTAGCAGCCGATTGCTTCACACCCCGAGCTGCTGCGTTTTGCACTAGAGCGCTCTCTTTACTGTACTTCGCAGTGATGGGTCGTTAGGGGAACATGGATGAGCACTGTCGGGCTGACCTCAACTCCCAGCATCGAGGACTTCGAGAAGTTCCTGACCAACAAGATCAAGGTGGATGGCAAGACCGGCAACCTCGGCGACAAGGCACCTGTCGATTTTGTGCGGAACGCTTACGGCCCGGTTTTGGGGGGGAGTACACGGCTTGGGTTTAGAGTTTAGAGCTTACAGGGTTTAGAGCAAGCCCTTAACCGTTAAGCCTAGCAACCCTCTCAATGCAAGCCTAAAGCTCTAGAGCCCTACCGCCTAAATGAGTGGCACACAGGTTACCATCAGCCGTGAGAAGAGCAAGATCCACGTCGTCGCCGAATCGCCGTTCTCCAAGCGTCGCTTTGCTGAAAGATTCCTGGGATTTAGGGCTTCGGGGTTTAAGGCTCGCTTGGTGTTTCCAAAAAAGTCTCCGTAGCTGCTGTTACGGGGTTTAGGGCTGAGGGCTAAACGGCTGAATGTTAAGAAGCTCTGGTCTCCATGATTCGGGGGTCTGAACACCCTGAAACCCCAAGCTTTGGGGCAGATCTCACCGGAGAGTCATACAGTCAACCGCACATGACGCGAAGGCTACCTGAAGTATTTGGGCAAGAAGTACTTGAAGTCTCAGCAGCTCCGCGACTTCTTGCGCATCGTTGCTCCCAGCAAGACCTCCTACGAGATGCGTTGCTTGGCCTTCACCAACATACGACGCTACAGTATAATCTGTTACCTTCAAAATAAGATGCTATGCTATATACTATACTAAACCGTAACACAATATGTCGTGCCGGAGTTTCTGTCCATGTTTCGGGACCAACCGAAATCGGGAGGACTTCAGGAGCTGTCATGGGCTTGAAGCTAGATGGCCACGGACAACATAGGAAGGGTTACGGAAGCCCTGCAGCCATAAGAGCATCTTGCAATAGACGTGCAACTTATACCGGCCAAGCTCACTTGCTTTCACAAGCCTTCATGTTTGGTACCAGGTTACTTCAACATTAACGAGAACAAGGACGACGAGGAGTGAGCGCAAGAAGGCGCCAGAGCTCAAGTTGCCCGGCTGGGTCTCAACCAGAATCGGAGGTTTCCTCACAAGGCGCTTGTCTGACAGGCTTCTTGCTTCGTGCTTTTTATCCTGGGGGGGCGGGGGGGGGAGTGGCATGGCTCGAAGTTGCAAAATATCAGTCCGGTGAACTGCGAACTGCAAGTCGTGACGTTTGCCAGGTCTCGAGTGACGCGCCCTGTGAACTGACGGCTTCGCAGCGTCTGCGCAAAACGAAGACCAGGGACATCGAATGGCACAGAGATTGAGAGCGGAGCGACTTCTTTGATTTGGGTCTTGGCAAAGCTATGCATATGTTCTGCTGGGGTAGGCATTCTTCAAAAGGAAATAGTACCAGCCTTTACCTATATACTTTGCTCACCAGCAAGCATCTACGACAAGCATTTCTACAGGGTATGCTGAACTGGAAAGGCTCCCATGTCAGATCAGTCGCTGGCCAGCAGCATGAGTAAATACACACTGTGAAAAATTGTGAGCTCCGCCGTGCCAGGAAGTTGCGATGCAGGAGCTGGGGACCTGCTCAGGATCAGAAATCGATGACCTGGCAAATCTTGAAGATGAATGTGGAAGCTTGAATTATGAGCAATAATTTTTCCTCTCAGTCCTCAATGCACTCCAAAACCGCATTGGTAATTCATCAAGGCCCGAATAGTAGCTGTCCCTGCCACCAGGAGGCAGCGTTCACACGTGCCGAGCTGGATGAGCGGGGCACCCAACAGGGTGAATGCGATCTGTGCTGTTTGGAATTAGGAGTCGCTATGTTGTAGATACTGGAGGGTTGACCTAAGTCGTACCGCCCTACTAATATGTGAAGTCATACCTTTGCGCGTGCGCACTGGGGGGAAGCCGTTCTGAACAAGCCCCGGCGATCGGCATGGACATACTTTGACTTGATGTTCTATCTTTGCACATGCACATGGGGGTTAAGCTGCTTGACCTGGGTTTTGCGCTTCATGATACACTTCCGTGCGGTGTGACAACTTCGACTTTGTTTATGTACTTCCAGAACCCTGTGCCGTTCGAGACCCTGAAACGCAAACTACTTGTAGCGATGTCGTCGGCTTGGGGTTGACACGAGGTTCCGCTGCCGTCGCGTTTGTTTCTTGGGCTGGGGATGTAATATTTCATATTGCTATGTCTGCTCCAGCAAGCCAAAGCCGGATAACCTGAAAAATTAAGATGGCAGCCTGTCTCCTTCTTGTATGAGCTGCTTATAAGGAGGGGGTTTCGGTCAGCCTGAGTCCCACCGAATAGAAATACAGAGCTGAACAGGTTTTCTAGGGAACTACGGTTTCGGACAGGTTTTTGCAGGAATACTGGCTTCAAAGGTTTTCTAAAGAAATACAGGGTTGAATAGGTTTTTTACGACAATACATGTCTCTTGTGTCTTGAGTGGGTGCTTGTGAAATCGAGCGTCTACATGGGGAATGGCTGTCGTGCGCTTTGATGCCAATGATGTGTCAACACTGAAGTCATGCGCATTCCCGACTTGTCTGATTGCTATTGTTACATGTCTGAAAGCGCGTGCACATGGTGATTAGTTGCCAAACTGGCAGACTTTTCAGGACTCCGGGACAATTTCCTGAGAAAGCCAGCGTGCGGCACAGCTGCTAAATTCGAGTTTTTGCCAGGACTCCACGCTCTCTGTTGGGATGAAGCTACCCCATCCAGGCTCTAATTACAATGACCCTCCTGAAACTGCACGCCGCTCCTGGTTGGTGCTAGGATTGCAAGTGCGAGGAAACGGGCACCAATCCGGACGTTTGAGACGTCAGTTATCGCGGCTTTTGGGTGCCCACTCCCCCAAAATCAAGTCTTAATTTCTTGAAGCAGCGAGAGGTTTCAATTAATTATGGGAATTTTGTCAACCCGGCTAACAAGATCCGACTGTGGTTTTCCTTGCCTTCATGAATGTACTTTATAGCAGTCGACACAAGTGAGCGCGGGTAGATAGATAGATACATATGTATATTTATGTTTAGATCTACATAAATATGTATATGTTTATGACATGCCCAACAAGAGGATGAGAATGATGGTGGTGCTCCTTCTGGCGACGACCATGACGTAGAAGCGAGAAAGCCTGCGGATGATGCAGCAGTGTATAATGGGGATTCGGAATGGTGATGGTGACAGTGATGATGATGGCGAGGGTTAACATCACGACTTTGGTCACAAGTGCCATTGCCACGCATCTTGCAGGCAGCTGTCAACCGCCTCGGAGTTGCATCAAAGGGCCTTTGAGTGGCTTCGCTCGGATCCCAAGAACGAGGCATCTAGCCTTGACGTCGCAGTGGCCGCATCAATAGCAAGGGGCATCTATGCGTGTAAGTGCATGTGTCTTTGGGTAGCCAGAAAAGCGACATGGTTTCTGTATGTATAGACTTCGTCGCATCATGGTGGAACATACCTACCTTCCCTGATGCTTGTTGCAGTCCCTGTGAATCATTATGGCATTATGGTACTGCAGACCAGTCTTGCCCCCATTGTCTCTGTGTAGTCGTTATTCCTCATGGTCAGACCTGCTCGGCCCCCTTTCGGGAACCCTGTTCTGTTCGTCGAGGCTCCCTTTGTGTGCGCTTAGAGTTGAGGAGAGAGTGGGTTTCGCATGTCCTGTGCGGCGTGCCTCCGCGCGTTGTGGAGCGCTGACGTTGGGTGATCGCGCGGCATGAGCCTTTCGGTTGACACCTCCGGATGCCTTCAGCCTCGTGTGGGCTTGGGCGTGGAACATGAGAGAGTCCAGGTCTCAGGAAGCCATGAGTCTTGTTCTTCATGTTCTCTTTACTCTTGTGGCACTATGTCGCCATGCCATGTTTGGATACATTGTTCCCTAAGCGGCTCAAGCCTTGCCCCCCGGAGGTTCCCAGTGAGACCTCGCAAGTGTGGCATGGCTGAAGCGGTGAAGTTTGAGAAGTTTGATGCCTCGGTTAACGAGCATGGAGTTTGCCGTGCAGTTTCCCTCAGCTTCGTGGCACATGTTCTTGGCTGCGAGGAAGAGGAAGGAGAAGTCTGTGTGCCCATGCCATCCTCCGGCTACCTTCCCGACGAAGTGGAAGCCTTGCAGAAGTGGAGGGCAGATGAGCTCTACGACGAGTCTGACTTTGTCAAGGACCTCACGGAGCTGCGTGCGCCAGCACCCATTCTCATGAGCAGCTTTGGGGACAAGCTTGCCTTGCACGAAATGATCTCTGAAAAGGTGGATGGCTGGGACGCAGCCATGGCTAAAGTCGGCCCGCAGCTCGAGCTCGGAGACCAGAAGTATGCTTTCGTGTTTTCGTTCTACTACCTGAAGCTGGACGGCCGACGTGAGGGGAGACATGCCATTGCTGTAGATACATCTGGAAGGGAAGGCCACTACCATGTCATGGATCCTAATCAGGGAGTGTGGCAATTCGACAGCATCGGTGCCTTAGTCCGTTGGTTGCGGCATGGGGCAGAGCTGGTCGCCGGCAAACGTGTCCACGCAGTACGCTTAGTGAGGGCGGCAAAAGTCTAGGCTTCCGAATGCCTCTCCCCATCTTTCGGAGTGGGAGTGGGCCGGGGCCAGGATCTGTACAGGGCCTCGTGATTGGGCTCTCAGGACGGAGCAAGTGCAAGGGGATATTCGTACAGCTCCTCATGGCCATGGAAACAGCCTCGTACAGACACTTGCTCTGACATGACAAGTAGCCCAAGTGATTGCCTAAGTCTTCGCAGCCTCCTCCTTGAGAAAAGAGGAAGACCGCCACTAGGACGCCCTGCTCGCCAAGTTGCGACAGCCGAAACCCTAGGAATGACTGAGTCCCGTAGACCCTAAACCGCAAGCCAGACCACAAGCCTCGTAAGCCGATCCTGTTAGCCCTTAACCTGAGAAGCTCCTATGCCCAGTCAACACTAAACGGCCCTTCTAAACCCCTCGATCCGGTTCGCCCTCAACCCTAAAAGCTCCTAAGCCGATTCAACCCTGAGCCTTCTTAAATCATTGAACTTCGAACCCTTGCCAGGAGAGTCTGTGCTCCTTTGGGTTCTTGGTTGTGAGTAGCTTTGTGTTCCCACGGCTTTATGATGTGAGAGTCGAAACCCCAAACCTCTACTGTTATGTTATGGCATTGCCTGTTTAGGGTTCGCTGTTGTCCCTCGCTGGAACTGTGCCTAGCTGGCGCAATGGCATGAGACTTGGATGGAAGCGTGGATCATCGCTATACTTATTGTCAGTTAGTGTCGTGTGTGTGTGTGTGGAATATTTTCGGAGAGCGGTGCATTCTTCTGCCAGGCGTTCATGCTGAGCTGTTAGGGTAGCAATCTCGGGCGTCGTGAAGCCATGCCTGCCTGGTGCGAGTGTGTGAGTCGAAACGCCTACCGTAGCACCCTGCTCCTTCCTATTAAGTGCTGTCATGTGTAGATCCGGTGATGTTTGAAGTCCTGAACCGGCTGTTGGATGTTGACAGGACTTTGGAAGTGGGAAGGATGCACACTCTTGGTAGGCCCGTATGCCTCAGGAAGGATGATCTCCTGTCTTCGATGTTCTTTCCCTGTCTATGCTTCGACTCAAGACCACAGCGTCCGAGTGTGAGCCCCGAAACCCAGGCCTGGCTCGCTCGCGACGCCCGGCCCCGACGACTCCACCGTTCCGGGGCCCCATGAAGGGATATCCTAGTGTTTTAGGGGCTTCGGCCTTGGAGTTTCATTAGGGGCTCTTAGGTCAGGGTTTAGGGCCCAGGGATTCCAAAGGTAGGGCTCAGGGTCCCTGCTCACAAAAAGGGGCGTAGGGTCTAGGGGTTATGTTAAGTTGGGTTTTTTAGGGTCTGGGGTTCTTATATTAGGGATCCCTTCTGCGCAGACTTGAAATCCGGATCCTACTTAACAAAGGGCTAGGCTAGGCTTGCTTACTCTCGGAACTGCACGGTAGGGTAGAGCATGACTGAGGTAGGTTGAGGTTTCATGAACCCTCGAGGATGTAGAGTAAAGTCTTTGGGGTGGCAGGAGGAGTGCAATGACGAATCTTCTTGATTTGGGGCCTTGCAAACCTGCAGTAATGTACCATTATATAGGTAGCTCTCCAAATTGAGGTCCCTTTTTAGGTCCCCAATATAGCACGGCATCCTTATAAAAGGGACCCAAAACGGGACCCTACTTTAGAGAACNNGATCCCAGGTCTAGGAGCCTCGCTTCCGGACGTTGGAGGTTCCCATCTTATTGGGATTCTCGGAGTTCATGGCAGTAGGTGGATGTAGTCGTTTCGGCGGTTACCGGACGTTGTGTTGTTTTGAGGTTTAGGGGGCCCAAACAAGACAGGAACAGCGACTTCAGCAAGTGTCGCTATCACAGAGCCTTTGGCCCTTCTCGAAGAAGATTTGTGAGAGCAGTGGGACATGGAATGCATCTCATGCTGAAGCTGTTTAGTCCGGAGAAGCTTCGCCCGGCGGCCCGGCAAAGCCGGTGTGCCAACCCCCCCCCCCCCCGGCCCAAAGACCGGAGCCACAACAGCAGCAGCAGCAGCACATGTACCGTTTGCTGCTCGCTTCATGCACACGGACTCAACGCATCTTGAAGAGTGATTCGAAACCTTAGCCCCATAGGCTTGCATGCCTCCAAACCCCTCAGCCAACTCAGACATCAACCAACTCAGCAGCTGCGCTCAATTCTCC